AAAAAAGAAATGGTTCAACTGGCTTTAAAACTAGGATTTGTCTACCTAGATGAACCACATTCAAAAACTGATTTTGAACAATGTTTTACAGCTCCTCACAAGTTGATAGCAGAGTCATTGGTAGGATTTTACATTTCAAAACTATGTCAGACAGCAGGGTTAGAGAATAATTGTGCAGAGGACTTAAAACTTTTACTTACACCATTGGATGAGGATGAATGGGAGATTATAAAAGAAAGTGAATATTTACAAATGGCAAGAACATTTACAATGCAATTCCTTGGTGCTAATGTGGGAAAATTCTTTATTCACTGGTTGACAAAAGATCTCTCAACATATCGCTCTCTAATGAAGAATTATTTGACATCTGTGAAAGCAGAGCACCAGGTTTTCGTTGAAGAAGCACTAATTGATCACATGACCAAGACACACTTAAAAATACAACCACATGTTAATGGCATATGTAAATCACTTATGAGATTTATTCATCATATTAATCCGTCTTTAGAGGTATTTGAAGATGAGCATTTTATTAAACTTACGAGAATAATTTATGACATGAAGCTAAGGCCATCAGTTACACCACCTCATTTTAAAAGTTTATGTAACAAAATGTCACCTGAAGAAAAAGGCAAAATGCTCGCTCACATACTGTTTGCTATACGAGATGAAACGTATATGTTGGAAAATATTATCCCTGAAGTGTGTGCTGATGATGATATTAAATACCTAACAGCTGAATATAAGAAACTTGATATGCATTATGATATTAGACATTATAAAGTATTTAATAAAAGTTCAATTACTGCTCTATTTTTAATTCATCTTTTGACCAATTCACCAAAACTTGAAGAGTTGAACTTAAACTTTTGTATTACAGGTGATATTATGAATGATATGATCAGAGAGCTTTCAGGTAGAGAGATCAATTTAGTATTACAGTCTCTTTATATCAATGATAATAATCTCAGTACATTTAATGGTGCTTCACTGGCTTCTTTAATGTCAATTTCTCCACAACTGATTCAGCTTAAATTGAGCAACTGTAGTTTAACTGGCGATATTATGAATGATATGATCAGAGAGCTTTCAGGTAGTGGGATCAAGTTAGGATTAGAGTCTCTTGATATCAATGATAATAATCTCAGTGCAATTAATGGTGCTTCTCTGGCTTCTTTAATGTTATTTACTCCACAACTGATTAAGCTTAAATCGAGCAACTGTAGTTTAACAGGAGATATTATGAATGATATGATCAGAGAGCTTTCAGGTAGAGGGATCAAGTTAGGATTACAGTATCTTAATATCGATGGTAATAATCTCAGTAAAATTAATGGTGCTTCACTGGCTTCTTTAATTACTCCAATACTAGATATGCTTCACTTGAGTAACTGTAATTTAACTGGCGATATTATGAATGATATGATCAGAGAGCTTTCAGGTAGTGGGATCAAGTTAGGATTAGAGTCTCTTCATATCGATGGTAATAATCTCAGTAAAATTAATGGTGCTTCACTGGCTTCTTTAATTACTCCAATACTAGATATGCTTCACTTGAGTAACTGTAATTTAACAGGAGATATTATGAATGATATGATCAGAGAGCTTTCAGGTAGAGGGATCAAGTTAGGGTTACAGTTTCTTTCTATCGATGGTAATAATCTCAGTACAATTAATGGTGCTTCACTGGCTTCTTTAATGTCAGTTACTCCACAACTGAATGACCTTAAATTGGTGAATTGTAGTTTAACAGGAGATATTATGAATGATATGATCAGAGAGCTTTCAGGTAGAGAGATCAAGTTAGCATTACATTTTCTTTTTATTGATGGTAATAATCTCAGTACAATTAATGGTGCTTCATTGTCTTCTTTAATTACTCTAATACGACATATGCTTCACTTGAGTAACTGTAATTTAACAGGTGATATTATGAATGATATGATCAGAGAGCTTTCAGGTAGAGGGATCAAGTTAGGATTACACTATCTTAAAATCTATGGTAATAATCTCAGTACAATTAATGGTGCTTCACTGGCTTCTTTAATGTCAGTTACTCCACAACTGAATGGCCTTACTTTGAGCAATTGTAGTTTAACGGGTGATATTATGAATGATATGATCAGAGAGCTTTCAGGTAGAGAGATCAAGTTAGCATTACAGACTCTTTCTATCGATGGTAATAATCTCAGTACAATTAATGGTGCTTCACTGGCTTCTTTAATTACTCCAATACTACATATGCTTGTCTTGAGTAACTGTAATTTAACAGGTGATATTATGAATGATATGATCAGAGAGCTTTCAAGTAGAGGGATCAAGTTAGGATTACAGTTTCTTTCTATCGATGGTAATAATCTCTGTATGATTAATGGTGCTTCATTGTCTTCTTTAATTACTCCAATACTACATACGCTTCACTTGAGTAACTGTAATTTAACAGGTGATATTATGAATGATATGATCAGAGAGCATTCAAGTAGAGGGATCAAGTTAGGATTAAAGTCTCTTTCTATCAATGGTAATAATCTCAGTATGATTAATGGTGCTTCATTGTCTTCTTTAATTACTCCAATACTACATACGCTTCACTTGAGTAACTGTAATTTAACAGGTGATATTATGAATGATATGATCAGAGAGCTTTCAAGTAGAGGGATCAAGCTAGAATTAGTCTCTCTTTATATCAATGGTAATAATCTCTGTATGATTAATGGTGCTTTATTGGCTTCTTTAATTACTCCCAAACTACATAGGCTTCACTTGAGTAACTGTAATTTAACAGGTGATATTATGAATGATATGATCAGAGAGCTTTCAAGTAGAGGGATCAAGTTAGATTTATGGTATCTTTCTATCGATGGTAATAATCTCTTTATGATTAATGGTGCTTCATTGTCTTCTTTAATTACACCAATACTACATACGCTTCGCTTGAGTAACTGTAATTTAACAGGTGATAGTATGAATGATATGATCAGAGAGCTTTCAAGTAGAGGGATCAAGTTAGAATTACAGTTTCTTTATATCAATGGTAATAATCTCTGTATGATTAATGGTGCTTCATTGTCTTCTTTAATTACACCAATACTACATGCGCTTCACTTGAGTAACTGTAATTTAACAGGCAATATTATGAATGATATGATCAGAGAGCTTTCAAGTAGAGGGATCAAGTTAGGATTACAGTTTCTTTCTATCGATGGTAATAATCTCAGTACGATTAATGGTGCTTTATTGGCTTCTTTAATTACTCCCAAACTACATAGGCTTCACTTGAGTAACTGTAGTTTAACAGGTGATATTATGGATGATATGATCAGAGAGCTTTCAAGTAGAGGGATCAAGTTAGATTTATGGTATCTTTATATCAATGGTAATAATCTCTGTATGATTAATGGTGCTTCATTGTCTTCTTTAATTACACCAATACTACATACGTTTCACTTGAGTAACTGTAATTTAACAGGTGATATTATGAATGATATGATCAGAGAGCTTTCAGGTAGAGGGATCAAGTTAGGATTACAGTATCTTAAAATCGATGGTAATAATCTCAGTACAATTAATGGTGCTTCACTGGCTTCTTTAATGTCAGTTACTCCACAACTGAATGACCTTAATTTGAGCAATTGTAGTTTAACAGCAGATATTATGAATGATATGATCAGAGAGCTTTCAGGTAGAGAGATCAAGTTAGCATTATAGACTCTTTCTATCGATGGTAATAATCTCAGTACAATTAATGGTGCTTCACTGGCTTCTTTAATGTCAGTTACTCCACAACTGAATGACCTTGATTTGAGCAATTGTAATTTAACAGGAGATATTATGAATGATATGATCAGAGAGCTTTCAGGTAGAGAGATCAAGTTAGCATTACAGACTCTTTAGCTGGGTTCACGTCGAACTTTTATCTAGATATACATCCACTTAACTAGTTAAAAGTTCGACGTGAACCACTCAATTATAGCTAGTTAAAGGAATTAAGTCACTTAAGTTAAGTGACTTAACTTTGCTAGCTAGCGATTAAAATAATTCGTTTTTTATCGAAGGTAAATGTAGCTAGGGCCAGGGCCTAGAGAAGCTACCACTTAGATTGCGATAGAACACGCTACTGCACTGGTCGTTGGTTCATACTGGTCGGCTAGGTTAGGTAGTGGAAACTCACACCTTCTCTACAATAGTTTACAATTTTTTTTGAACGAATACCACTTGGTACTAGAGGTTCGTAAAATACAGTAGATGTTTTATTAAACAAGCCTTTCGACCGTGTGACGTCGACGGCCTGAAACTGGCTGGCTGTTTATCTGGCTCTAACTTGGCATCGAACGCAATTAGGGGATTATCGTATCATGTTTCAAGACGGGTATATCTAGATAAAGTTCGACGTGAACCAAGCTTCTCTATCGATGGTAATAATCTCAGTACAATTAATGGTGCTTCACTGGCTTCTTTAATGTCAGTTACTCCACAACTGAATGACCTTTATTTGAGCAATTGTAGTTTAACGGGTGATATTATGAATGATATGACCAGAGAGCTTTCAAGTAGAGGGATCAAGTTAGCATTACAGACTCTTTCTATCGATGGTAATAATCTCAGTACAATTAATGGTGCTTCACTGGCTTCATTAATTACTCCAAAACTGATTCATTTTACATTGAGTAACTGTAGTTTAACAGACTATATTGTAAATGATATGATGAGAGAGCTTTCAAGTGAAGGTATTAAGGTATATGTGTTTCAGTGGTAATAGTCTCAAAATGAATAATGATGCTTTACTGGCTTCTTTAATGGCAATTTCTCCAAAATTGATTAAGCTTAAATTAAGTAACTGTAGTTGAACAGGAGAACTGGCTTATGATCAGAGAGCTTTCAAGTGGAGAAGTCGAACATTATGATTAAAGTATAGTAAGCCACTATATAAATGACTAAATTAGATTAGACAATAATCTCAGTACATGTACGAATTAATGGTGCTTCATCGGCTCCTTTAATGGCAATTATTCCAACACTGATTGAGCTTAAATTAAGCAACTATAGTTTTAATTTCAACAGGTAACATTATAGATGATGTGATCAGAAAGCTGGATGTCAAGATTAAAATAAAAATAAAAAATAAGATAATCTCGTTATTATTTTTTGTACTTCACTGGCTTCCTTAATGACAATTACTTCAAAACTGATATAAGATATGAGTTTTAGTGGAGGTATCAAGTTAGAATTAAAGCGTCTTTGTTTCAATGATAATAATCTCAGGACGATTAATGATGCATCACTGGCTTCCTTAATAACAAATACTCCAAAACTGCATAAGCTTAAATTTAGCAACTGTAGTTTAATAGATGATATTATGAATAGTATGATCAGTGAGTTTCGAAGTAATAATATTTTATTAGGCAAAGTAAAGGTAAAATCTTGCCAGGGAGATTGAAAATACAGAAAAGATCAAAATGCAACACTAGGCCATTATGCAATAACAACCTTTACAACAAGCAACTCAGTGTGTTTGAACTGGACACTTTATGTGATTCCATTCTGATATGATCTAATACAGTCAAAGTATTTTAGGCTTTAAGGGACATTCAACTATGACTTTGCCAGGCAAACATGTAGATCAAATATTGTAGAGAAATGGATCAAACTATGTTTTATTTTATAAACTTAAATATGTAAATCTGCTGAGAGATTTATGCAACTATTCAATGATAATTCTTCCTTTTCTACAACTGTACTCCTCCCATTTAAAAAATGTTAATTCCCACCAAACTGTTAGTTTGCAGCAAACAAAATTAAGAGCATATTTTGAAGTTGTGCGCCAGTTACCGTGGAAGATCCCTATGTCTGAGAGCTCTCTCTTGTCCAAGGACTCAACACCTTTCCTCAGATAAAAATATCTTGTGAACATTTTTACAATATCAGACTGTAAAGTCAATTAGGGGCCTAAATAAGCATTCTAAATCTTTAAATTGTAAGAGCTTCCGCCTTAGATACCATATACTCGCGTATAAGGGGACCTGGATATAAGACGACCCCTTGAGTTTGAGAATAATTTTGGTCGATTTTTGTATATTGGGCATATAAGACCAATATACAACTCAGTGTGTAAGCCTAATTGTACTTTCATCTGACGCAACCTCTTTTTTTACAAAATTATTAGTGTCCTGACTTCAAGCAACAAACAAACCAGTCAACCTCATTGAAACGTCGTAGTAACCACCCTGTCTTCATTACAGTTTGCTGTACCATTGATTTGTCACATGCACCATTTGCTTTACCATAGTTGTCCCTTTTATCAATTTATATACTGTATCTTTATTAACTTCAAACATAACTTGCACATTCAGCTTTGAAATATGGAACACTAAAATTATTTCATTTCGTACTGTAGTTAAGTGTCAATACTTAGACCTATTTATCATGATTTGTTTCACCACATAAATAATAATCTTTTTCTTCCGAAACTTAGACTCAGATATACCGGGATGCGGTGTCCGACGGGGGATACTTTTACCTTTGCTGTACCATTAATTTGTCACGCGCACCATTTACCGTACCATAGTGGTCCCTTTTATCAATTTATTTACGGTATCTTTATTAACTTAATTTAATTTATTAACATAACTTAAACAACATTTAAAATTATTTCATTTTGTACTGTAGTTAAGTATCAATAGCTTACAGTAGGCCTATTTATCATGATTTGATTCACCATGTAAATAATAATCTTTCGCCCCTGAAACCTAGACTCAGAAATACCAGGATGCGGTGTCCGGCGGGAGATAGTTTTACCTTTATATAATTAGAATATTAGATTAATTCTAGTAAAACATACACTTGTACTACCAGTCAGGCCCCGAAACCTCGACTCGGAAATACCAGATGGTGTCCGGCGAGAGATAGTTTTACCTCTACAATTTTCTTATTCTTAATGACATAGTCTCTATAGAGGCTACAAAATTTCAACAAAGAAACCGTGACATAATCTATTTTTCTGCGGTGATTTGTCAAAACTAAGAGCTTGTCTTGGCCACTTATAGGTGGATAGATATATCTTGCCTGTAAAATGTAACGTAAAGGTAAATAAAAAAAAGTAAAAAAAATAAAGTAATAAATAAAAATGATTAATGGTTGTAAACATTGTATAGGTGTCCTGTTGCTTTTGATATTAATAATAATGTAAATAATTATTTCACTATAAATAATACTTGAATTTGTCATTTAACTATTGTAGTTGCTACATTTCTGGTTAATTTTATTGAGGATGACATTTCTGTCTGCAAGGTGTTCAGGAAATATATTATCTGTATTTATATTAATCTTGTTTTATTTATATTTTCATATTTCCTTTGATAATAATAATGTAAATAATTTAATTCACTATAAAGTAATTGAATTGGTCATTTATCTAATGTACTTGAGACATTTCTGGTTAATTTTATTGAGGATGACATATATATCTGAAAATTGTTCATGGAAATATATTTTATGTATTTATATTTAATCTTGTTTTATTTATATTTTCGTATTGTTTTTGATAATAATGTAAATAATAATTCACTGTTAAGTACTTGAAGTTGTCATTTATCTAATGTACAGTATTTGAGAAATTTCTGGTTAATTCTGTTTACGATAAAATTTGTATCTGCAAGTTGTTCGTGCAAATACATTTTATGTATTTATATTAATCTTATTTTTATTTATATTTTCATATTGTTTTATATAATAATAATGTAAATACTTTATTTCACTATAAATTACTTGAATTTGTCATTTATCTAATGTAGTTGAGATATTTCTTGTTAATTTTTAATTGAGAATGACATTTGTAACTGCAAGTTGTTCGTGGAATTATATTTTATGTATTCATATTAATCGTCTTTTGAATTATATTTTCATAGCTTTTATAATAATAATAATGTAAATAATTAAATTCACTATAAAGTAATTGAATTGGTCATTTATCTAATGTAGTTGAGACATTTCTGGTTAATTCTGTTGAGGATGACATTTGTATCTGCAAGTTGTTCATGGAAATATATTTTATGTATTTATATTCATCTTGTTTATATTTTCATATTGTTTATGAAAATAATAATTTAATTTACTATAAAGTACTTGAATTTGTCATTTATCTAATGTAGTTGAGATAGAACTGGTTAATTCAGTTGAGAATGACATTTGTATCTGCAAGTTGTTTGTGGAAATTATGTATTTACAGTATGTTAATTTATTTTTCTTTATATATTCATATTACTTTTAATATTAATAATAAAAATGTAAATAATTTAATTCACTATAAAGTACTTGAATTTGTCACTAATGCAGTTGGAACATTTCTGGTTAAATAAAGTTTGTTTTATTTTTAAATTCAAATTTGTCCTACAATCTTTGCAATGTCTTTACATAGTTCATTATAGTTATTTGTATGTTTTCAGTATGTTTCCAGGACCATTTGAAGAACAGTGCATAAAATTCTATAACACCCTATTTGGCAAATAGCGGTCAGCGGGCCACATGCGTCCCGCCAGCGATTTTTTTTGCGGCCTGCAAAAACGAATTAAAAACCCTGTCTGTGTGGCCCTCCATGCAACATATGGCCCGACACCGATCATATAGAAAAAGTAAAATTTCAAAAACTAGGAATAACTTGGTGTAAAAGCAGTTCTTGGAGGTTTTAGGAAGCACACTGGGAAACAACAAAGTTTGAGTGTGGCCCTCGGTGTTAAATCAAAACACTCCGATCGATTTTTATGCCCACCCCTGCTTAATAATATGGATTATGCTGCTGAAATGTATTTCTGGTAAAATATGTTTTAAGTAAAACAATTTTAAAAATATAAATATATTTTCATGTATTTATATTACTCTTATTTTTATTTATATTTTCATATATATTTACAGGTATATATTATTTTTATAAAGAAAGAGTGGAGAGGCATAGTATTGATGAATGTGGCTGGTTTTACATCGATGGTACAGATGTTACCGCGGAAACTTTGTTTACCTGGATGCCCAGAAAAAATATGAAATAATGATGAGAATAATAATAATAATAATAATAATAATGTAACTGACGCGTACTGCGGAGTTGGAATGACTTAATATACAACACGGACACTGCAATTTATCTCAATACCGCTTTCTTTTATTCTATGTATACAAAACTTGTTTGCATTCATTACTATAATATCGGATACCATCGTTCCGGACAACTGCTCCGTCCGGTATACAGTATATGCTTGCCACCGATTTGAGATTTGAAAATCCTCAACAAATTTCGTTTTTTTTTTCTCCCCGTCTGGGGAGCTCCCCTTGACTAGGGAGGGGAGAGTTCTGTAGCCACTCAGACTCTACTGATTTGGTCATCAGTGTTTTACTCAACATTTTTCCATTGCTAAATTTAGGAGGGTGGGTGGGGGGAACTGGACAGTTCCTCTCTGATTCCGCCATTTAAATCTGTACTGTTACCCTCATCACACTGCTTTCTAAGTCATTTACTTTATTCATTCTGCTATATCTGTCATCCTGGAAATGATACTCCGACTGTGGCGGGTCCAGTAATTCGAAATAGAGGGGTTCCAGGGAGGGTCTTGCGTAAATAGGATGTCCACCCGCCACAATAGTTGTGGGGCTGAAAATATTATGATTATGGCACCTCTAGATGGCCGAAATGGCACTCTCATATTAAAAGGTGAATACAATTTTGACTGTTTTCTTCCATTTTTTTTTTTTTTTTTGAATGGGGTTTGGTGCTGACTGGGTTCCCTCTTGAATCTGCCACTGTTCAATGCAATATAACACTTAACAAATAACCTATCATTTTGTTTCACAAATGATTAATTCCTAATGTCGAGCGAAAGATTTTTTTTATTCGAAAGATTTTTTTTTTACTCAATAAAGTTTTTACAACCTCAACACATTAACTAGTACTGTAAATTCTGTAATTAACCTTCAGAGAACTTTATTTTAAAAAATTACCTAATTAAGTATCATTGTCGTTAAATTAGATGGAGTTTAAATGTGGTTATATTACGCTATTTTGAAGGTTTACTGTAAGCCAATTAATTACACTTACTATACATCTTCGTGGTTAGCATAAAAAGAACCAGAAGGTCGCTTCATTAAGAGTGCCTACCTTCCCCCCATATGCCTAAATACGGAATTCACGAATGCAGGCGATTTTTTCTTCATGTTCGAGGGTGGGTTTCAAGGAATCTTTACAGACGCACATATACAGACGTCAATCAACATTAGGTTGCTCAACTCAAAAAGTTAGAAAATGAATAAAAAAAATCTGTATTTTATAATAATAATAATAATAATAATAGGTTAATTTATAAGGCACAAATAATAATAATAATAATAATAATAATAATAATAATAATAATAATAATAATAATGACATTGTAGCGTTTGTAAAATGTTTGTCCCTGGTACTGGGAACAGTCGCAAAAGTGGGGTGGGGGGATGGAGGTCCCCCAGTAGAAAAAGTGGGTGGGCCAATGGCGCCCCCACCCCCGCTTCCGCCGCCGTTGCAGTACAGATTCAGGGGAGAAAATTCTGGTTTATTGCTCAAAGGTTGTTGTGATACAATGATAAAAAATAAGTATCCACTTAATAGGGATTATTTGACCATTTGGCACACTCAAAAAGTGTCCCCGTCCAGTGGC